TATTTGCTTGAATTAGCTACCTTTTTGAAGAATGTGGAAAGCAATGATAAATTTATCAGTACCTTATTCAAATTATGAAGTATACCTTCTAAATTCATTATGGCTTTTCCTTTGAAAAACAAGTGAACATTCTTATTGAAATATAGTTGCTTTAAAATATTGTGCTACTTTCAGGTGTATAGCAAAGTGATTTGGTTTTATATGTGTATATATATATTATATGTATACTCCAGAAATAACTCCAGAAAGAATGAAGGGATGGAGTCAAAGCAAAAACAACACCCAGTTGTGGATGGGACTGGTGATAGAAGCAAGGTCCGATGCTGTAAATAGCACTATTGCATAGGAACCTGGAATGTTAGGTCGACGAATCAAGGCAAATTGGAAGTGGTCAAACAGGAAATGGCAAGAGCGAATGTTGACATTCTAGGAATCAGCGAACTAAAATGGACTGGAATGGGTGAATTTAACTCAGATGACCATTATATCTACTACTGTGGGCAGGAATCCCTTAGAAGAAGTGGAGTAGCCATCATGGTCAACAAAAGAGCCTGAAATGCAGTACTTGGATGCAGTCTCAAAAACGACAGAATGATCTTTGTTCGTTTCTAAGGCAAATCATTCAATATCACGGTAATCCAAGCCTGTGCCCCAACCAGTAACGCTGAAGAAGCTGAAGTTGAACGGTTCTGTGAAGACCTACAGGACCTTTTAGAACTAACACCCAAAAAAGATGTCCTTTTCATTATAGGGGACTGGAATGCAAAAGTAGGAAGTCAAGAAACACCTGGAGTAACAGGCAAATTTGGCCTTGGAGTACAGAATGAAGCAGGGCAAAGGCTAATAGAGTTTTGCCAAGAGAACGCACTGGTCATAGCAAATACCCTCTTCCAACAACACAAGAGAAGACTCTACACATGGACATCACCAGATGGCCAACACCAAAATCAGATTGATTATATTCTTTGTAGCCAAAGATGGAAAAGCTCTATACAGTCAGCAAAAACAAGACCAGGAGCTGACTGTGGCTCAGATCATGAACTCCTTATTGCCAAATTCAGACTTAAACAGAAAGTAGGGAAAACCACTAGACCATTCATGTATGACCTAAATCAAATACCTTATAACTATACAGTGGAAGTGAGAAATAGATTTAAGGGGCAAGTTCTGATAGACAGAGAGCCTGATGAACTATGGATGGAGGTTCGTGACATTGTACAGGAGACAGGGGTCAAGATTATCCCCAAGGAAAAGAAATGCAAAAAGGCAAAATGGTTATCTGAGGAGGCATTACAAATAGCTGTGAAAAGAAGAGAAGCGAAAAGCAAAGGAGAAAAGGAGATATTCCCATTTGAATGCACAGTTCCAAAGAATTACCAGGAGAGATAAGAAAGCCTTCCTCAGCGATCAGTGCAAAGAAATAGAGGAAAACAACAGAATGAGAAAGACTAGAGATCTCTTCAAGAAAATTAGAGATATCAAGGGAACATTTCAGGCAAAGATGGGTTCGATAAAGGACCGAAATGGTATGCACCTAACAGAAGCAGAAGATATTAAGAAGAGGTGGCAAGAATACACAGAAGGACTGTACAAAAAAGATCCTCACGACCCAGATAATCACAATGGTGTGATCATTGACCTAGAGCCAGACATCCTGGAATATGAAGTCAAGTGGGCCTTAGAAAGCATCACTATGAACAAAGCTAGTGGATATGATGGAATTCCAGTTGAGCTATTTCACATCCTGAAAGATGATTCTGTAAAAGTGCTGCACTCAATATGCCAGTGAATTTGGAAAACTCAGCAGTGGCCACTGCACTGGAAAAGGTCAGTTTTCATTCCATTCCCTAAGAAAGGCAATCCCAAAGAATGCTCAAACTGCCGCACAATTGCACTCATCTCACACGCTAGTAAAGTAATGCTCAAAATTCTCCAAGCCAGGCTTCAGCAATATGTGAACTGTGAACTTCCAGATGCTCAAGCTGGTTTTAGAAAAGGCAGAGGAACCAGAGATCAAATTGCCAGTATCCGCTGGATCATCGAAAAAGCAAGAGAGTTCCAGAAAAACATCTATTTCTGCTTTATTGACTACGCCAAAGCCTTCAAAAGTGTGGATCACAATAAACTGTGGAAAATTCTGAAAGAGATGGGAATACCAGACCACCTGACCTGCCTCTTGAGAAACCTGTATGCAGGTCAGGAAGCAACAGTTAGAACTGGACATGGAACAACAGATTGATTCCAAATAGGAAAAGGAGTACATCAAGGCTGTATATTGTCCCCCTGCTTATTTAACTTCTATGCAGAGTACATCATGAGAAATGCTGGGCTGGAAGAAGCACAGGCTGGAATCAAGATTGCCGGGAGAAATATCAATAACCTCAGATATGCAGATGACACCACCCTTATGGCAGAGAGTGAAGAGGAACTGAAAAGCCTCTTGATGAAAGTGAAAGAGGAGAGTGAAAAAGTTGGCTTAAAGCTTAACATTCAGAAAACTAAGATCATGGCATCTGGTCCAGTCACCTCATGGGAAATAGATGGGGAGACAGTGGAAAGAGTGTCAGACTTTATTTTGGGGGCCTCCAAAATCACTGCGGATGGTGACTGCAGCCATGAAATTAAAAGACGCTTACTCCTTGGAAGGAAAGTTATGACCAACCTTGATAACATATTAAAAAGCAGAGACATTACTTTGCCAACAAAGGTCTGTCTAGTCAAGGCTATGGTTTTTCCAGTGGTCATGTATGGATGTGAGAGTTGGACTGTGAAGAAAGCTGAGCACCGAAAAATTGATGCTTTTGAACTGTGGTGTTGGAGGAGACTCTTTGAGAGTCCCTTGGACTGCAAGGAGATCCAACCAGTCCATCTAAAGGAGACCAGTCCTGGGTGTTCATTGGAAGGACTGATGCTGAAGCTGAAACTCCAGTACTTTGGCCACCTCATGCGAAGAGTTGACTCATTGGAAAAGACGCTGATGCTGGGAGGGATTGGGGGCAGGAGGAGAAGGGGACGACAGAGGATGAAATGGCTGGATGGCATCACCAACTTGATGGGCATGAGTTTGAGTAAACTCTGGGAGTTGGTGATGGACAGGGGGGCCTGGCGTGCTGCGGTTCATGGGGTTGCAAAGAGGCGGACACGACTGAGCGACTGAACTGAACTGACTGATATATATGTAATCAAATATATATGTACATATTCCATTATTTTCCATTAAGGTATTTATAAGATATTTGACTGTAGTTCCCTGTGCTATACAGTTAAATCCATGTTGTTTATCTGTTTTATATATGGCAGTGTGTATCTGTTAGTTCCATACTCCTGATCTATCCCTCCCTCCTTTTCTGTTTGGTAATTAAGTTTTCTATGTCTGTGAATCTGTGTCTGTTTTGTAAGTTAAGTTTCTTTGTAATACTTTTTAGATCCCACATTTAAGTGTTACCATATAACATTTGTCTTTGTCTGACTCACTTCACTTAGCATGGTAGACTCTAGGTCCATCCATGTTGCTGCAAATGGCGTTATTTCATTCTTTTTCTCAACATTCCTTTGTGTGCATGTATGTATATATGCAAGTATGTATATGTGTGTGTGTGTGTGTATCACATCCTCTTTATCCACTCATCTGTTGATGGTTACTTAGGTTACTTCCATGTCTTGTCTATTATATGTATCTTTTTCAATTAAGGATTTTGTCTTTTCCAGATCTATCCCCAGGAATGGGATTGCTGGATCATATGTTAACCCTATTTTTAGATTTTTAGGGAACCTCCATACTGTTCATAGTCAGTCACTTAGTCGTGTCTGACACTTTGTGACCCCATGGACTTTAGCCCACCCGGCTCCTCTGTCTGGAATTCTCCAGGCAGGAATACTGGGGTGGGTAGCCACTCCCTTCTCCAGGAGATCTTCCCACCCCAGCGATCAAACCCAGGTCTCCTCCATTGCAAGCGGATGCTTTACTTGCGCCTCCAGGGAACATTCTCACCAACAGTGTAGGAGGGTTCCCTTTTCTCCACACCCTCTCTAGCAGGTATTTTTTTGTAGACTTTTAGATGACAGTCATGGTGACCTATGTGAAGTGATACTTCATTATAACTTTGATTTGCATTTCTCTGATGATTAGCAATGCTGAAATCTTTTCACGTGCCTGTTGGCCATCTGTATGTTCTCTTTGAGGAAATGTTTATTTAGGTCTTTTGCCCATTTTTTTATGAGATTTTTTAAAATATTGAGCTCTATGAAATATTTATGTATTTTAGAAATTAAGCTCTTCTTCATTGCATTGTTTGCAAATATTTTATCTGAGGCCATAGGTTGTCTTTTCGTTAAAATTTTAAAGCAAGTGAACTTTTGATAAATGTTGAATGGTTTCATTCACAAAAAGACAAATTTAGTGATTTCATTTATATAAAGGTTAGTTACTAGTTAAATCATTTAGGGAAGTATATTTGAGTAAATTTTATTTTTGAAAGGTCTGTTGATATATAGATACTCATACTAATGAACAGGCATAATAAAGTTGGAAATACTTATAAGGAAATAGTTTATTGGTGTCCATTGTTAAGCCTTTATGATTTTATTGTAAAAATGTAACCTTAGAAATAAATTTACTTTTTGTACAGAAGAACCATTTAAAGTAGTTTATTAAAGCACCCATGAATAAACTGTGCTTGTAAATTAAAGTAAGAAATTGGTCCTTAAGTTTGTATTCTGAATTGAATTTTGTCCAAAATGTCACACAAGTAGGAAGGTAATTAAAATCACCTTTGAAATATCTCTCATCTTTGTGTGTAACAGTATTTGGCTTCTTTGGTTCAAGTTTGGGCTCTGTTGTCCTCTTTACATTAACCTCTCTGTGAGATTTGTTGCTTGGATTAAGGTAAAATAGCGTTATAAAAATTCAGACTTGGGTTCATTTTGAAATGACTTATCATTATAAGATCAGACATTTGTAAATTTTTAAAAATTTACTTTCCTCTCTCTCTTTGAATTAGGTGCTCTGTGGATGTGTATAGTTTTAAATCCCCACTGCAAGTTGGAGCAGAAGGCCATTTGGTTAAAACAGCTAAAAAAGTGGAATGGTGTTGATGTCTGTCCATGGGAAGATGGAAATCATGGCAGTGAATTACCCAACTTAACCAATGCTCTGCCTCAGGGTGCAAATGCCAACCAAGGTGAGTCCACGGTGATAATGTGCTCATTTTGTACCTACTTAATTGTGCATCTATGGTTATAACAGTAACTTACAATAAATTTGGGAACATTATTTTACTCACTTAAGAAGTTACTATAACTCATGGACTTAATGTTTTGATGTGAATGTGTGTGTGTGTGTTTTAATTTTTATGCAAGACCTTTCTATGATTGTTTTTCATATTCTCAGAATACAGATGGATGTAATACTTACATGTACTAGTATGTGTTAAAATTGCATACTAATTAGTTTGATTTTTTTTTAATCATTTTATGGGGGTTAGTGAATTACTGTGTGAAACAAAATTATTGAGAGACCTGAGGAACTGTTATTCCATGTGTTGGTCAGTTCTTATCTGGGATACTATACTATGTAATCAGTTAAAAATTCTTAGTTTTAGAATGTAGCGAGTAAACATTTCACTCCTGGAATTACAGGGCAATGGAGTGCTGCTGGCATTCAGACTGGGAACATTCTTTATTGTGAAAGGACTGTCTGGCATACTTGCTCCCACCTACTGTAGGCTAATAGTACCCTCCAGTCTCTGGCAGCTAATGCTCCCAGGCATTTCCAAATATCCTCTGAAGTACCTCTATCTCTAATTTCTCTACCGTTTTTTTGTGGTGTTTTTTTTTTTTAAGTTTCTCTTTCTCTGTTGGGCCCACCCATTCAGGTCAAGTCTTTCTCATCTTAAAAAAAGTCTTTCTTGCCCTCATTGTCCCTACTAGCTACTGACAGATTTTCTCCTTTCACATCCAAATATTTAGTTAATTCTTGCTAATAAAAATGTCATTCACTGTCACTGTTTTTGTGTAATTTAGTGCTGCCGCACCCCCTTTTTTGAGAAAACGTGAAAGACTTTAAATTTATGATATATGCAAAATGGAAGTTAAATGACATCAGGAGGATTCAGGAATTAAGACTATCTTTCCGTATGTGCGGATTCTGTCTGTAGTTGGTACTCCTGGAAAGAGCTGGACAGTGCTGAGTGTGAAATGTGATGTTAGCACTGTGTTTTCTGTCTCTGCAGAGAGAGAAAATCATATGTATTATTCCATAGGGACTTGTCCAATCAAAAAGAGGTTTTAGGCCTTGGGAAGGATGATTGTCTAGCTCTCCTTTGTCTAGATATATTTGCCTTGGGAATTCAGTATTTGAAATCTGTCACATCTTTATTGCCCATGATGATTTTATTTAATAATTTCAAAGAAAATAAATCTGCCTCTTATACCCCAAGTTTTTTTGTAAAGGCTCAGAATTTTCAAGTTTAACAATTCATTTATTGTCTTCCATTGCTAGGAAAAGGATGTTTACATCTACATAGGCAATATATCTTTGATCTCTTTTTGACTTTATTATATTTAGAGGCTTCTTCGTGGCTGCCATCCTAACATTTTACAGTGTACTTTTACTTTCCATTTGGTTATTTTACCCTTGGTTAAACTTGACTATTCCATAGGCTTTAGAAAACTTCTTAGGAAGTGGTCCAACCTCCTGATAAAACAGTTTCATTTATGGTTTGACCTAGGGATATGCAGTTAGGACTAGTTTCTAAGGGCAGTACTTATGGCTGCTGTGCCTCAAAGCACTGGGGCTCCTCCTTTTAGCAGAACACCCATGTTCTCCAGAGGGGCTGGCAGAAGAGACAGCCCGGTCCTCAGCCTGCAGTGCTTCTGCTGGAGGGCTGAGCAGACTGGCTAGCAGAGAGCCTCCAGTGGCCTGCAGAGCCCAGCAGCCATGCAGGTGGGTGGAGGGTGCACGTGCTACAGGCCACGGGCAGAATTACACGTGTTTGCACATCGGAGCGAATGTGAAGCGCAAATCAGGCCCCATCTTTGCTGAGATTATTTGTTAGAATTAGTTGACAGCATTAGAATCCACACCCTTAGAGTAGTGTTTATTTTTTAAATATACCTGAATGAGAGCCTTTTTTAATTTTATCTTTTTTGATTGAAAAAACTAATATTATTTTATATGTGTGTGTCGCTCAGTTGTATCCAGCTCTTTGCAACCCCATAGACTGTAGCCCACCAGGCTCCTCTGTCCATGGGATTCTCCAGGCCAGAATTACTGGAGTGGGTAGCCTTTCCCTTCCCCAGGGGATCTTCCCAACCCGGGGATTGAACCCAGGTCTCCCACATTGCAGGCAGATTCTTTACCCTCTGAGCCACCAGGGAAGCCTGAGAATATTAGAGTGGGTAGCCCATCCCTTTTCCAGGGGAACTTCCCGACCCAGGAATCAAACTGGGGTCTCCTGCATTGCAGGTGGATTCTTTACTAGCTGCTGCTGATGATTTTGTCGCTAGGTCGTGTCCGACTCTTGCAGCCCCATGGACTGTAGCTCACCAGGCTCCTCTGTCTATGGGGTTTTCCAGGCAAGAAGACTAGAGTGGGTTGCCCTTTACTTCTCCTACTTTGCCAGCTTAGCTACCACAGATTTGTGTGTTTATCATTCTAACCATTTAAGATCATCTGTTTCTCTGTTTTCTGTGCTATTGCAAAAAATCTAGAAACATAAGATATCTAAGATAAAAATTGACCAGAAAAAAAGAAGAAAAAAAAAGAAACTGACCAGGACTTCCCTGGTAGTCCAGTAGTTACGACTCCACATTCCCACTACAAAGGTTGCAGTTTCAATCCTTGGCTGGGGAAACAGATCCCACATGCTGAGTGGCAAAAAAAAAAATTGACCATAATTTTGATACTTAATCAAATCAATTTTTAAGTCAGTATCTGTGTACATTTTTTTTTGTGCTATTGCAGAGCTTTGTATCTTGCGTTTTCTTTTAAACAGTATTTAGTCTTTTTTGTTATGATTGGTATTATTGATCTCTTAGAGCCAACCACTGTAAAAAGTCTGGTATGTATCTTCTATGTATGTCTATGATCTTACAGTCACATAAAAACACGAAAAGTTAAGATCTTAATTTTTTAATGGAATTGATGCCACAGTGGCTCAAGTAGGCAGATAGGACTTTAATTCTCTTAGTGTGTGCATAATACTAAGTTGCTCTTTTAAAGTCTTCTTTTAATTTTAAATTCTGTTTCTGTGATTTGAGTTAAATGAAATGGCACAGCCACTTAACACTTAACGTGTGATTTGGATTTTGGAGTATTTGAAGTCATGGAATCAGTTTCTTGTTGGGTAGGGGTATATTTATTCTGCTCTGCATAAAGCCCTGGTAGGTTCCAAAGGCTATGAAATACAAGGTCCTCTCTCCCCATCTGCAAAGTGTATACTGTCTGCTACTAACAGGAAGTCTGGGAAGGGGCCAGAACAGATACATCAATGTTTATGCCTCTCAAATTGTCTGTCATCCATGCATTTTGATATGTCTGCCATTCAAGTACAGCTGTCTAAGTCCACCTGAGACCAAGCTGAAGTAATGTCTCTTTCTGTTAAAAACCATTCAGAAGCCATTCAGAACAGCTGACATAGCTGAATTTGGAGTGAGGTTGTCTCTGTTTTGATCTTGACTGCCATTGCCTGGGTGTGTGACCTTGGCAAGTCACCTCACTTCTCTCGATTTTCAGTTCCATCAGCAGAATAGAGGGTTTGGTCTGGATAAGTTTTCAGAGCTTTTCTTGATTCAGGTGTGTTTTGATTTTTATGATTTCCTTTATGTCTGTGCTTAGCCAAAGCTCCAAGGACAGGAGGATGAAACTTTACCAACTAAGGAAGCTCCGATTTTACTTCTTATTTAGTTAAGTCTCAGAACAGTGAGGGATGATACTTGAGCTAAATAAAGCACCCACAAATAAAAATAGTTGTTACCCTGATTGTCAGTTGAGGCTCTTTCTAAGGTTTGTGCCACAGTTGAAGGTAAGTCTGGAGTGGGACCCAAGGGCTGGGAGGGCAGGTAGAATTTGAACCATGTTTTCCAGAAGAACTGAATAATCCCAGAAGTTGGGGTAAGAATATCCTTTATTCCCCAAACATTTCTTTTCTCCGTCAGGTCCTGAGACTTGAACCCTCTTCGGAGTGTGTGCTTCTGCTCTTTTGTGATGCCCCAGCATACACTATGCTGGGGACATCACACCAGTCATGGAACCTGCACGGGAGTCAGGAGGCAGCCTATAGGGCAAGGTAAGTGCGCTGGTTTGTTTTGTAGCTATGTTGTGTGGCTTTGTGAAATGTTAAATATATGCATTTATGCCCTTTGGGATATAAAATGCCATTCATCATTATATCCCAAGAAGCATAATAATTTTAATTGTGCAAAACCGCACAATATAGTTAAAAAATACAACCAAAAGCACAACCCTTCTGCATATTTTTAAAGGCTGATTGCATCTTCCTGAAAGGTTCCATGGCTGGTGTCTCATCTCTTGCATAGTGTTTGTTGATCCCATTAGGGCAGCCCACCACAGCACCTCAGAAATGGGGAGCAGTGAGTTTTCCTGTGATTTTTGTGCTGAGTGCCTCCTCTGAGTGTATTTGGCATGGAAACTAGACGTGACAATTCTTTTTGCAGGACGCCTTTAACCTTAGCTTTGATGGCTGCAGAGTGTGTGTGTTTGATAAAACAAGAGAATGAATGGTGGCTCTTTGGGCTGATTTGCCTCCTAGTACTTAGGACATGAGACTATTCACCCTCCATCCTTCTGCTTAGGGGGAGCAGGACAGTCTGTGTGGGTGTGTTCATGAACATCTGGCCACAGAAATGGTATGGTATGAAACTGATTTATTGACGTGTGAATCATAGCTGACACGGCTTTCTGAATTGTGGAAAAAACAGATTCATCGAACAGGCCACATCGGACAGTGTTCACCCGAGCCATCGAGGCATGCGATCTCCACTGGCAGGATAGCCACTTGCAGCACATTATCAGCAGTGACCTATACACCAACTACTGTTACCATGACGACACTGAAAACTCCCTCTTTGACTCCCGCGGGTGGCCCCTCTGGCATGGTAAGTGGCCAAACCGGAAAGACATTTCCATGACTTACTTCTTTGTTTAGTTTCTATAGCATTACTGGAGTGGGAGGTGGAGAGTTGAGGGATTCAATGGGGGATGGATGAATGCTTGGCAATAGGAGTTTTTCGTTCAAATCCAAGTTTAGAAATGGTTTCTTGTGTCTTTTTAATAGTATTTTGGGGGAAACATCTTACTATTAAATCCTATTTTTATAGATATATCTGATAATGGCAACTTTCCCCCCTTAACTTTCTGTTTTAGAACATGTTCCTACAGCCTGTGCGCGAGTGGATGCATTACGTTCTCATGGGTACCCCAGAGAAGCACTGAGACTAGCAATAGCTATTGTTAACACATTAAGACGACAGCAACAGAAGCAGTTGGAAATGTTCCGAACTCAGAAAAAAGGTGAATGTGTGAAGGAGTTTGTTTCCATTGGAATGGGATTCTTGGTGATGATGTCATTAGGTTTTATATTCTTTTGGGGGAGGGAGAGCTTTTAAAATTAAAGCCATGGAGATGGCTTCACTTACCACTCTTCTGAAATATTTAATAGCTAGCTAATCTGTGACAAATTTTAGGCATTTTCCCTCTCTGGTTGAATGTTGTGAAATTTTTGTTTTTTTTTTTTTAAGTTTCTTTGTTTCCTAAGTTAATTTTTTAAGGGGGAAGTTGTTTTTTTTTTAAACTATTTGAGTTATGTAGTATGTCTGAATTACCTAAAATGCAAGTTAACCAGATATATTTCATTCTGTGAAGAAACATTTTAATTGTGACAATAAGTGCTCCAGTGGTAGACTGCCTATGTTTGAATTCTGGCAAGAGGTCCTGGCTGAAGACCTTAGGCATTGACTTGACCTTTTCTGTGGATTGGGGCTCAATTGAGGGCTTGTCTCCTGGAATTGAAAGATTAAACTAGTTATTTCCTGTTAAGTGCTGAAAGCACGCCTCAGATAATATAAAAGCACTGTAAAACATTTTAATTGTAATAACTTGTACATCAGGACATGATGTGTATTTAATGTGACCAAATAGAACCCCTGGATTTTTTTTAGATTCTGTAAATAACTTTTGATGAGTTATCAACTGGCAGAACATATTTTAACTCCTCTTTGTCTCAGTTTATTAATCTTTTAAATTTTAAATAAGCATTACTTAGTAATAATAATAGCAACAGAGTTATATTACATGCATAAGGCCCTGATCAGAAGAAAGAAATATGTATGCTTTCTCTGCTTCTTTTTCTTCTGTACGTGTAGATCTTTTTTATTTTTCTTTGGTATGATTGTTTTGTTTTTACTCTGGAATTTTATATCTTAGTCAGAGAGAAGTAGTTTTAGTTGTGATTTTTTTGGCTTATATTTTTATTTTATTCCTTGGGCAATTATACACACATCTAGGGTATAGCTGAAAATTATCAAAAGTTGAAGTGGGCTGGAGATTAGACTGTTGTAATATTTTATATCCTCTATATTATAAGTATTAAAAATGTTAACTAACAATCATTTTTTGATGAAAGAAAGTTCCAAAGTTACGACATGAACCAGAAAAGGGGGAGCTCAGATGAGACTGGAATGTGATATCCCTGAAAGTCATTACTTTGTCCAGTTCTTCATGTTCATCATATCATCACTGGTTACCAGATATATTTACAGAATATCTTGCTTGGCCCTTTGCAAAATTTTTCTGAAATCTCTCCCTTCACCTAAACACATACAATATATGGCCAAGAGGCATTTATTTCTGAAACGTAGAAAGGATGAAAATAGGCTAAGAGAGAATGAAGTTATTATACTGCGACAGGAAAGCTTGCTCTTGATGATCATTGGAGTTTTGAAACTTTACTGCTCTTTACTAAAAAATGTTTTTAAAATGAGTTTAATTTAAATGTTACAATATCTAAGAAATACAAAACGTAAAAATGTTAGTTCATGTAGATTAAGTTGAAACACGTGTTAGGTATTAATAGCTGCCTTTGAGGTCTCAGACTCATTTCTGTTTTATCCTTTATGTAATGAAAATTTTTAATTCAGACTATTCTTTACTAGTACTACATATCTATATATCTTTCCCTACTTTATTTTTGTTTGTCCATATTCAAAGAATAGGTGTTTTTGTACTGTTACAATTCCAAATTGCTGTAGCAGTTATTTCTTATGGGGCCAAGATTAGTAAATAAAATATCTTGTACATTTTCAATAATATTTGGCATATGTCAACTTTTTTAAAAAAATGATATAATTGATATACAACATTATTTTCAGGTATACAACATAATGCTTCCATATTTATATATGTTTTCAAATGATTGCCACAGTAAGTCTAATACACACACATACACACATATATGTATTTGTGTGTGTGTATATATATAGAGAGAGAGAGAAAGAGAGAGAGAGATTGACAGAATTGTTGCTAAGAGTAATGCTCATGTTTCTGTTTTCATCCTGGTTGTGTATATTAAAAGCCAGTGACAGAAATTGAAGGGAAAGACCTTTCCAAGGAATCTAGTACTCAGTTTCCATAAATTATAATACATTGTGCCAGGCCATGCTTTATTTTTATGTACTAATAGTTGGTAGTCCAAAACAGAAGACTTCTAAAGGAGTATTGAACTTGTGGAATAGCTCTTTAGCTATTTACAAGCCAATATTTTTCTTGTTTATTTTATATTATATGTAGTTTTTATTGTACTTTCCTTCAAGAACAAACTACTACTATTTATTATTTTAGTAAATACTTACATGTAAAGTACTGCATTGTTTACAATAATGGGATATATCCTAAAGTATTTGCAGCTTTTTTCTCAGCACTCTAACTTGAGAGTTTTAAAGTTCTAACATTCTGTGAAGAAAATGAAAAGGATACATTCCATCCAAATTATATGTTATCTTCTGTTGTAGTTCCCCTTTGTGGAAAAGTTTCTCTCTTAAATGGCTTACATATCCATGATAAGGAAGACTCTTATAAGGTGATAGGGGAGTTCAAGTCTGACCCAGAGTATAGCTGCTCTTTAGACTCTATTTTAGATGACTCAGTGAGCCCGGACTCTAAGAATATCTTAGTAATAAAGTTGTAGTTAGCCAATGATAATTCCAGGGGGAATTCTTAGTTCTCTTTAAAGCCACTCCTAGGAGGTGAGGAGAGTTGTCCTTAGCTTCTCAGGTGAAAAATTGGAATTCATTTTTCCTCATACATTATAATTTAATAGTGTAAACAATAATGTCAATCTAGTACCCTGGACACATGAATTAAGCAGATCACCAGCCCAGGTTGGTTGCATGAGACAAGTGCTCAGGACTGGTGCACTGGGAAGACCCAGAGGGGGATGGAAAAGGAGGCAGGAGGGGGGATCGGGATGGGGAACACATGTAAATCCATGGCTGATTCATGTCAATGTATGGCAAAAACCACTACAATATTGTAAGGTAATTAGCCTCCAACTAATAAAAATAAATGAAAAAAAATTTAAAAATCATAAATAAATAGATGTTTGAGAGCTTTCCTGGGAAGTTAACACCATTTATGTTGATTCACAGATGACCCTTTAGAACTTAAAAAATAGTTCACAAGTTGGGGTTTTACGAAACCTTGTTTTTTAATTAAAGAGGAATTTTTAATTGAATGTAGTATTAATTTGTGAGGGTGTGGCTATTAAACGGTAAAGCCTTTCTTTCCTCTACTTCTCTCCATATCTTAATTCTCTTTTCTTACACAGAGCTACCCCATAAAAGTATAACCTCAATAACCAATCTGGAGGGCTGGGTTGGACACCCCCTGGACCCAGTGGGCACACTTTTCAGCAGCCTTATGGAAGCCTGCCGCACTGACGACGAAAGCTTCCCTGTGTTCTCAGATTTTACAGGTAAAAATAAAACAATAAAAACATTGACGTTTGTCTCATGTGCTTCCCCCCTCTAAACCCTGAATGGCGTTCGTCACTGGTCATTGTTCTTCACTGTTTCTTTTATGAATCTATGTAGTTAACAGGACCAGCAGTTAGCAGGAAATGGTACTTCCACTTTTTAGGCAGACTTCTCAAACTGGGAGAAGTCTTGGAGTTGACAGTTGGCAGCATGCATCAAGAACCTAAAAATACTCATTCCCTTCTAATCAGTGATTGTACATCTACGAATTTATCTATGTTTCTTACTATTTTCCAGCATAAAGATATAAAATAAGGATGTACATCATATGGCAGGGAAGAAGGTTTGTACCTTTGCTGCTCCCATGACTGGATTAGCTTGGAGAGTTAATTATCTAGCCTGTGGTGGTTGCCCTCATGGATTTTGGTGACCCAAACTCTGTCAGGCGGGTGAGGGTATGACTCTGAATCCACTTTCCTTGGGAGTTTGACAGTTGAAGTTTGTTAAGAATTTCTAAACTGAAGCACCTTAACAGTAATAATATGATGTTCAAAGAATCATTCTCTTTCAACAACTGATGACTCTGATAACAAAAAGGACCATGAAATTGAGTTACATACATGTTGTGTTCTCTACTGTTCTTATTATAAATTACAACATTGCTGTAAAAGTATGAAAATTTTTTCAATTCTAGGCTTTAAAAAATTGGTAACTATTATAGTCATCATGTAACTTTACTCTTGGTTAATTAAAGATTTGTTTACTGTTAAGTATTCTTAGTATCTCTTCTTAGATTTATGGTTCTCTTTGGTGATTCCTTTTTAATAAGAGAAAAATATTTGTACTGTGCTTTCCCCCAGAACATACACACTTCGTCAATTGATGGTCATTTTTTAAAAGATATTGGAAAACTATATACTTTATCCTAAGAAACATGGTTTTCCAGCTTTCTTGGAGCTAAGTCAATAATTTGTTTAAGAGTTCTGGGTAAAATATTAATAGATTGTGCCTGTCAGAGCATCTGCAGAAGTGGTTTCTGAACTCTGATTTCTTCTGTGACAGAGAATATGGGACAGTGCAAGTCTCTGGAATACCAGCATCTACCTGCACACAAATTCCTAGAAGAAGGGGAGTCCTACCTAACGCTGGCCGTGGAAGTAGCCCTAATAGGGCTGGGACAGCAGCGGGTCATGCCCGATGGGCTGTACACCCAGGAGAAGGTCTGCCGCAACGAGGAACAGCTCATCTCCAAGCTTCAGGAGGTTGAGCTCGATGACACACTGGTGAAAATTTTTCGCAAGCAAGCAGTCTTCCTGTTAGAAGGTAACTGGTGACTCTCTGCCCGGTTAGCCCCTGTTAGTCAGGCCTGCCGCTTTCTTATGTTGGGAATACTGTTTGAGTACGTTTAATGCAGTAGTTATCCTGACTGGTATGGTCACTGAGTGTCATAGGCACGTTCATTTTCCAAAAAGTAGTATCACTTAATAAAAAAGTACAGATGTTTAGATGTTTATTATTTATTAGGTGGTCATGTAAGAAATGAGCCTGCTAGAAGTGAGCCCTATTTGAATGTCACAAGCTTTAAAAAGGGCTGTTTTTATTTAGACTGTTGTTCTTGAGATAAATGTAAATTTGATGTTTAGTGAATTATTGCTGGTAGCCATGTTCCTTTATGGCTGGTAGCCATATTCCTTTGATCAATTAAGTAATAAAATGGAAATTGGTTGGCATTCCTCCAAACTGTTGGCTGTTACATGACTTCTGGGTTTTGAACATGTCATTTGCACATGCTGATAAAGGACCAACAACTGCAGAAGTGAATTTTTGCTGTGCTAATTATTTCAGAAAATTCATTAGGTGTAGATGCAGCAAGGTAAAAGTTTCATAGAATCTCTAAGGCAAAGTCAAGTTTTCTTCTTTCTGTAAGGTCAAGAGAAAAGTGAAAATGTTAGTTGCTCAGTACTGTCCAACTTTTTGTGGCCCCATGGACTGTAGCCCGCCAGGCACCTCTGTCCATGGAATTCTCCAGGCAAGAATACTGGAATGGGTAGCCATTCCTTTCTCCCGGGATCTTCCCGAACCAGGGATCAAACCCCAGTCTCCTGCATTGCAAGCAGATTCTTTATCATCTGAGCCAAACAGACAAATCCCCAAATTTTGACTGATATTTTTTTAATGTTTTTTCCTTGTCAAGAATAAGTGTAATTAATGTGGTAGGCTGATCTTTTACTGGAGAAGGAAATGGCAACCCACTCCAGTATTCTTGCCTGGAGAATCCCATGGACTGAGCAGCCTGGCGGGCTACAATCCATGGGGTCGCACAGAGTCAGACAGGACTGAGGCAACTTAGCAATTTTTACACAGATTTGGGAGATGTCAGAATTTTTTAATTGCTTCTATCTCTCAAGTACATGTGTGTTATTTTTGTGGGATTCTCTGTGATTGATAAGCTCATAGAATATGGTTTATTTGTCTTGTATTTGGAATGACTACTTAGGGGAAGGATTTAGAGAAAATAGCATTTCAAAACCTCTCTTATATGTCCAAAGCTAAAGATCTAGTTGACAAAATTTCTTTTCATTAAATACATTTACATTTATATGTTTTAGAAGTGCATCTTAAAAGGAAAAATGTTCTGAATAAAACATGCTTAATTTTGGTAAAAATCCCTAATATTTTGAAGCACTCTCCTCAAGTTTTTTTTCTCAAGATAAAAGCCTTTCTTGACAAATTTCAAATGATCTTGATCCTTTCATTACTGTTTTAGTTTCCTGTCATATATTTCCTTTTGATGTAAGCGATGTCATTAGCCACAAAGTTTTTTTTTATGTTGGCTCTTAGTCACTTGGTAAACTGCCTTCTGATTTTCATTATCCTGAAGGAATAGAAGAGGATGTATGCTTTTCACAGTTGATAGTGTCTGATACCTGTTCATCACTTACTTATCTATATGTCTTCATGTTCATTACTTATGGATATTTTTTAACTTTGTTTTACTCTTTGATTAGTCCATGCTTTCTTGTTAAACTCTTTAATTAGAACTTTGCCTGATAAGGAGTGCTGATGACTTATCCCAGCCTCCTCTCCTTTCCCAGCCTTGCTCAGCCCACACAAGAGTGGGTGGTGCAGGACAGGAAGAAGTCCAAGGGGAAGCCAAGGGACCATTTCTATAAACTCCAAAAGATAAGTGCTCCATGATAGAATCAACTGCACTAGGCACCAAGTTCTTCATGCATTTATACTCTGTGAATTTCAGGGGCAAATTAGTTAGCTGACTCAAGTATCTGAAAAAGAGGAAGCAGTAACCCTGTATTGTTGCTGAGTGTTAGTCACTTCTGGACATTCTGTAGGCATATTGGATCTGTGGGCATGTTGGAAAAACACTTCTGGGGAACTTAGATTCCAAATTTCAGTTTCTCACTTTTCAGTACACTGGAGCTCAGGGATTACACTGACTATTCATTGACAAATAATTCTGTGATACCTGACTGAATGTTTTGCTTGTTGGGAAGTGCTGTTATATTGATTATGCATCCTGGCTTTCCTTGCGTAGTACAGAAAGGGACCTTGATGGTTTAAGGGAAATGCTGAAAGGAAATGGAGGAGAGAAGAAGAAAAATAGATGCTTGCTATAATTAGTTCTTAATAAAGTAGAGTTAATGTCTCACTCTGCTCAAGCTGCCTTAAAAAAATACTACGGGTTAGATGCTTAAACAACAGAAGCTTGTTTCTCACAGTTCTGGAGGCTGAGAAGTCCAGGGTCAAGGTGCTAGCTAATTTAGTTTCTGGTGAGGGCCGTCCTCTGGCCTTGCACATGGCTGCCTTCTCTCTGAGTTCTCACAAGGCAGAGACAGAGCATTCACTCTGTCTCTTCTTATGGGACACTAATTCTGTTGGACCAGGTCAGGGCCCCTTTGACCTCATTTAACCTTAATTACTTCCATAAAGACCCAATCTTCAAATACAGTCACCTTGGGAGTTAGGGCTTTAACATAGGAATTTGAGAGGAGGGCTATAATAGTCACAAATAATTTGGCCTCATATGAACTAAAGGTAAAAACTGTAACGCTGTGTCAACTTTTTACTAATATCAAATCACTAAAACATTTTAAAATATCTTTAGTTTGTGTTGGTAAAAAAGTAGTCTACATGACTTTTAAAGTATTTAAATAAGGAATAGTTCAAAACTGCTAATCAAAGAATGAAACAGTGACATTTAAAAACAACTTCTGTTAATTTAAAGTGATCTAAAATATATCATGCTCTTACCAGAGTGCCCAGTTCAATAACTCCTCTTACTGTTTCTTCTAAACTACATTTCTTGCATTCTAAACCCTTCACCAGACTAAGTTTTCTCATGGAAATCAAATGTATTATGTCCTTTGAGCAGTAGTGTGATGGTTCATAATTCTAGAGTCATGAAACTGATGTTACGCAAAGGTGACATGGAAACTAATTTACAAAACACTTTACAGTAACTAGACCTCAGAGTACCTAAGTGGAAAGTAGTTGAACTAACCACTGTGGTTTCCTTTCAAAATTTGTTTTAAAAGTTGGTATTGCCCTTTGTAAGGTAGCATTTAAAGAGCACAAAGGGGATGTCAGCTCTGCCATGATGCCTGTCATAACTTCTAAGAAATGAATTTTGATAGTTTCAATATAAGTTTGCTTTTGAAATTGATCTTTTGAAGCCCAAATAGTGGCAGACTCAGTTACTTTTTTTCTTTTGCCTACGGTGAGTATTATTCTATTTTTTATTATTAATCACTTTCTGAGAATTAACATCTAATTCTCCTTATTAAAAGCAGCAATACTTAAAAGTCTTTGTATTGGAATTTGTGGTTCAGAATCTCCATCCCTCCCCCTGAAGCAGAGCACTCTTTTCTGGAAACCTGGCTTAACTGTGCCCCTACAGCTGAGTCTGGGGCAGGTTCCAAAGTGAAGCCGTAGAGTCATCTGTGTATTTGAAAATTTGGATGCTTAGATATCACACATTGAGAGAGGGTCTGTCTTAAGTTCCTTATTTCCTGAAGCGGTTGTGATGTGGAAAAGCTCCACCCCATAGTTGTGTGATTCTCCTTTCAGCTGTGCTGCTGGCAGTTGTTCCTGAAGTGAATTTGATGGCGTATACTCTACCCTGTAGCATCATTTTTAAGAATTGTATTCATTTCAGTCATGTCACTTAGGTTATATTCTTCACTAGATTAACACTGTTTATAACTTTACATAAGAAATTTATACTTTACAAGAAGTCTTAGTTCCTTGTTTAAGAATGTAAAATGTGTATGCTCTCTTCCTACAGCCGGCCCGTATAGTGGTTTGGGCGAAATAATCCATCGGGAGAGTGTTCCAATGCACACATTTGCCAAGTATCTCTTCACCTCTCTCCTACCTCATGATGCTGAACTGGCATACAAAATTGCACTGAGAGCAATGCGGTACGTATTCTGCCCCGTGGGCAGGGGCGGTCCGAATCCCCACTGGGAAAATCGGCTGTTAACTGACTTCTCACTCATCCGTGTTTCTTGTAGGCAGCAGAAATCTGAAGCAGCTGTTGGTGCTTCTTGAGTTGTGGTGGTGGTACTTTGTCGCCTCCTTTGGCTTTTGTTTTAAAGTAAGGGAAGGAGGGCATTTTTGCTGGCTGTCACACTCACGTTCATGGTGGCTTTATCCTACTTTGTCTTGAAGCTAGAATTTGAGACTAGAGAACAATTTCAGGTCAGGTTTAGTCACAAGGCCGCAGCAGTTGAAACCTTCCTAAATAACTCATTCTTTTGAAAAAATCAGATTTTTGAAACAGTGGTAAATAGTACATATACTTGGCTGAATGTAATAATTGAGGGAGCCCTTCACACCTGCTGCAATTATACATTCCCATCAGTAGTGCAGGAAAGCCATCTTGGCACTGAAACACTTTTGTGTTCACCGGGAGAATGAGAAAAGATGGGAGCTCTGTCTAGCGTGGACGGCACCACAGTTCAGGGGTCTTCTGGGATTTGCTTGCCTCAGCTTTGTCTCCATCCCCCTCAGTCCCTTTTTCAGTGATAATAATTAGAACACGTCCTCTGCCGCTGACTTTTCTGTTTTCTCCTCCTTTATGAAGTCAGTTCACAAAGCAATTATTTTCATCATGAATTTGTGCTAGCTGAATATTTTTTAATGCATTCAAGATTACATTTTTCAATCTTATATATAGCCTTTTAAACTTTAAGGACCTGAAAGAAATAATCTACTTTCTTAAAACACGAGCTTTTTCCTTTTGTCTTTTTTTTTTTTTTTAAATCAACACACTTGTTAAAGTCCTGATTAGACCCTGTTATTGCCACCTAAAGACACACCTCCAACTTGAGATGTTGGAAAATAGTTTGATTCCACAGAAACTTTTTAGCCAGTGTAGTGGATTCAAAAACAGTGCCATTCCTGTATAACTTATAAATCACAGGAGGCCTTCTTCTATGCAGCAATAGAGTGTGTATTCATGTATGTGTTTTTATGTACCTATGTGTCATTGTGTATGGAGGCTGACATCTTTTAATTTGACATGCTTTCCTTGGCAACATGAAATCTCATTAACATATCAGAAAAACCTTAAAAGTTCTAGCATCTATTTTTTAAATATAAAAAAAATTAATAACTAACATAAGCAAAAGTTCCCCACCAAATTAGTTTATACCACTTGGTTTGTATTTTAGAGCACAATTTTTTAAGTATGTTCCTATTCCCATTTTTGGAAGCTGAAATGGAAGTTGTCAGATGAAGACAGGTGCTCTGCTCTGTACTAAGATTTGTGCTCCTGTGCAAAGGGAAGGATGCTAATGTTGTGATGCCACCAGATGCTATTGCCTCAAATCCTGTAAAGTTTAAGTGTAAAATAGCATAAGGTTTCTCTGTGGTTCTGGCTTATGTGAACGTATCTATCAGGAGGGGAGAGGCTTACTTTTCTAACACTCAGAAACTCATCTATGTCTGCCCTCGGTGGCTGCCAAGGCAGAATGTTCATGGGGAATTTTAGCAGGGCACAGGGGAATTGTTACCACCTTTTCTCTTCCACCTGCCACATGCCCTCAGCCAAAAGGCTGCTGTGGGAGGGAGGTGGTATGAGCTATTATTAGAGCATCTCTAGTATGCTAGGAGTGAATGTTCTTCTGGATGGATTCTGATACTGTTTCCAGCCTCTGGGAACAGCCAGGGGAACAGGAAGGAAAAGAGACCTGTAGCTTACTTGCTTCTTAGTCTTTCTAGAAAGAGAGGGGAAGTGCTGAAGAAAGGTGGTTTCACAGTCATTTTCCCATCTTTCCAGGAATGTTGACTAGTTTCCTCTACAGCACCTCTGGAAAGATCTGCCTGTGAATATAAGGATATCCCGGATTGTTTAAAAGCTAACTAGCAACCCACCAAAATTCCTACTACTAAATTGCCACCATCTAATGCTAACATCTCTGTGTCCCTACACAAAGGGAAAAGGGAGGGAGGCATTTGACCTACCAGAGCAGTAACTGCTGTCGGGCAGGGCCCCAAGCCCAGCATCACACCCTGAGCCCACCGACCTCTCCTGGCCCCCGCTCTTACCCACACAGTCCCTGACACTGGTGCACTTGAGTGAAGGTCAGTATTTTTGATGATTGTAAAAAAAAACTTGCAGTTACAGCTACTCTGCTAATCTCTTTGGTGCTTGTATTTGGAAGAGACCACTAAGCATGTGCTTTGTTTCAGTAGTTGTTCTTTATAAGTCAACATTTTTAAAGATAGATTGATTAAAATAAGAAATGGTGCTGAATTTGTGTAAGACTTGTCAAGGGACAAATACTCAGATCATTTGCACTCATCATCTGTAATGTGATTGATAGAACATTTTCTAACTACAAATTTCTGAAGTATAAGGAACTAATTCTGCAGAAAGTATGAATATATGGAAAGGAAGTCATTTTTGTTTTGCTTTCCCTCTCATTTTAGTAAGTTAAACTTATTCATCTCAACTATACAATGAGCCCTTTATCATCTCAGTCTTAAATATCCACTTCACTATCAGTTTGATTTTTATTTTTTAGTGAATTATAAGGTCCAGAAATTCTTAAATATCCACTTCACTATCAGTTTCTTTTGATTTTTATTTTTTAGTGAATTATAAGGTCCAGAAATTTTACAGTAGGTAAACATTAAGACTTGTGTTTCAAACCTCTCTGTTGTTACATATCTTCATTTCCTTGAATATTGCCATTTTCTGAATGATGCTAAAGAAAGGAAGCCTCTTAGGTTTAGGTAGTGAGCCATTAATAAGGTAACTTTAGCATCTGGGCGGCAGAGCATAGCTGTACCAGCTCTCCCCTCACCGAGGACCTGAGCAGTCTCTCCCGGCGTCTCCCCTCTCCTCTGGCTTCCGGCCAGTCCCTGTGGCCCAGGTGATGGACAGGTGGTAACTGAGCGCTGCCTGCCTTGTCTTATCATTACAGGTTGCTAGTATTGGAATCTGCTGCTCCAACGGGAGACCTCACCCGCCCACACCACATTGCATCAGTTGTTCCCAACCGATACCCTCGCTGGTTCACTCTAAGCCACATAGAATCCCAGCAGTGTGAGCTGGCATCCACTATGCTAACTGCAGCCAAAGGTACTGGGTCGTCCTGAGGTCTTGTGATTGTTTCATGAATTTGCCTCTTTAAGGGTCATGTTTTCCATCAGATTCTCAGTGGTGGAGCTTATGTTGTAAAGGAGTCTTTTCTTTAGATGTTAGCTTAGGAAGCAAAACAGGTGCTACTCATTTGAACCAGCATTTTCCTCATTTAACTGCATCGTTAAACTTGCTCCTGGCAGAGTTCGGGTTTAGTCACCATGCCATGTAAATGGTGGGTGAGCTCCAGAAGCAGATTAAAAAGTTGGGTTCCATTTTTTTCTCCCTGAAATATTCACCAGAAATACATCAGTAGGAACCTGAGAGAACTATTTGTTCTCTCTTATTGGTTCTGGCTCACATGTGCTTTTAGTCTCTGAGGGTGTGTCTCAGTGTATCTTTTTTTTTTTTTCATTTATTTTTATTAGTTGGAGGCTAATTACATCATTGCAGTGGTTTTTGTCATACATTGAAATGAATTAGCCATGGATTTACATGTATTCCCCATCCCGATCCCCCCTCCCACCTCCCTCTCCACCCGATCCCTCTTTTTGAAGCTGGGATTCAGATACTGCAGTGACCTTGGGACATTTAGGTGTGCCATCTGTGAACATTACATGTAAATTAACGTGTGCGTTGTGTTCTGTTCCTTTTTCAACTCCCTTTGCGGGGGGTGTGTGTGGTTTTTTGTTTGTTTTGCTCTGCCTTGATTCTGTTTCCCCTTGTTCATTGCAGGTGATGTTCGGAGGCTGGAAACAGTATTAGAATCCATCCAGAAAAACATTCACTCCTCATCCCACATCTTCAAGCTTGCCCAGGACGCATTTAAAATAGCAACTCTCATGGACAGTTTGCCAGACATCACTCTTTTGAAAGTGTCTCTGGAGCTGGGCCTGCAGGTACGTGACTGTGGTCCTTCCTGGGGTGGGTGCCAAGGGCTGCTAATAAAGCATCATCCTCAGACTCTGTGTGCTTGGTTGGGTGTTCCAGTGCAGGCCCCTGACTCTGTGGTGCACAGGTCTGCGAGACCTCAGGAGAGCTCTGCGCTTCACAGACATCATCGTGCCCAGCTAAGCCACACTGCAGCTGCATGTGTAGGACTGTGCAGTTTAGAAGCCCTGTTGGTGTCTTTCAACAAATAAAATCGTCTTCTGTGTTAGAGCCTTAACCTCACTGTTCCTCCTTTAATGAATGAAGAAGAGTTGTTCCTGTACATGGCTTAAGCTCTCGTGTATAATAAAGATTCAGTTGTTAGGGCTCTATTTTTAGAGGAAGTGTGGATACTTACTGATGTTTTTGCATTTTCATAGCAGAGGGACCGTTCCGTCTCCTTTTTATAACCCTGAGAAATTTAGGTAAAGGAGGAGGGATTGGGTCTGGTTTCCACTTCATTAGGCATGCTTAGACATGTTATCAAGGACACTTTGAGTTGGTTATTCAAGTAGATGTTGCTTCCTTATAGTATCTGAAAAGATTACTGTATAAATCAGAAACTGAAAAGTTCGTGTTTCTGCTTTTCTCAGGGAATCCCTATTAACATTTGTGTTTTTCCCTCCATAAAAAGCAGTGAAAGAAATTGCCACCTTCTAATTTTCTAAAGTATGGGGATTAGAATGCCCCAGTTAGATGATTCTTACAGTTTTCTAGTTATGGCTTCTCCTTACAGTGGTTAATAAGGTTAAAGAATTAGATTACAGGAAAATGCCCTTGCCATATGTATAGTACTCTACAAGTAGAGGGCATGGGAAATTATACTTAAAGCTATATGGTGACACTTTAGAAGTTTCTTTTTAAAAATAACTTCATATTGTTTGGCTTATTTTTGTTACCATTTGCCTCAGAGATATGATGCAGAAAGAGCCATTAACATGAGCTTTCTGGTTATTTGGAATCCTGGCAGATTATTTTGGTAAATGGCAGATTACTGGGCAAGACAGGAAGGAGCAAGACAGGAGCTTGCTCCCTGCCTCATTCTTCCTGGGACCCAGGAAGGAATCCCGTAGACCTTTCCAGGAGAGTATTACATTCCTAAAGGTTCTGAATCTTAAAAAATTAGGGAAGCAGGAAGATATGATTTATTTTATCTAGGAATCTGTTAGAAAGTAAAAAACAAAATTAGATTGCTAATGATGCCAAAGGTGATTTCCTTCTATAGATTTGTGCTTATCTTCTTAATCACCAGGAAGGAACAAGCAGAGGTTGAAGAAATAACTAAAACAATTATTTTTTTTTTAATGGAGGGTTCCCAGTCAGAATTAATTCATGAGGTGGCTCAGAGATTTAGAAGCATGGAATGTTAAAGATGGGGAGGAGGAGAGAACATGGGCCATGTTTAATGTGCCAGTCCAGCCACATTAAACATGGCCCATGAGCTTTGCAGAGGAGAAAAGTGATCGGTTGAGTGGCTTGCCCAGGATGCCACATCTAGCCAGTCGGCCTACCAGTAGAACACAAACTTCCTGCCTCCCAGGCTGGGACGAGACCAGCGAGGGAAGCTGTAGACAAATCCAAGTTCATTTGCAGAGCTTTGGTCCAAATAAGGCTCTCCATCTTCCTGGTAGTAGGGAGTGTGCCTAGTATTAATAGTTTATACCTTGGGGTGAACTGTTTTCTTTTTCATTGACTTGGTATAACCTTCCAAAGCATTCTGTTATCCTTTCTTTATAGGTTATGCGAATGACACTGTCAACCTTAAATTGGCGGCGACGGGAGATGGTGAGGTGGCTGGTAACGTGCGCTACTGAAGTAGGTAGGTAAAATCAGGAAGGGTAGCTTCCCCAGGTGCCTTGTGGTCAGGTTCAATTTGTCATTTCCAGATACATACAAGAACATTTTCACTCTTTTACTTTGATGTCTCCAAGGCGCCTGCCCCTTCCAGCAACCTACAGGGACTCCCTTCCCCTAACCCTCACCTCCAGTTATACCCACTTGCATCATTCCTATCACATTTGTGGGGCTCCAGTGTCTTATCTGGAGAAGGCAATGGCACCCCACTCCAGTAGTCTTGCCTGGAAAATCCCATGGACAGAGGAGCCTCGTAGGCTGCAGTCCATGGGGTCGCTAAGAGTCCGACACGACTGAGCGACTTCAGTTTCACTTTTCACTTTCATACACTGGAGAAGGAAATGGCAACCCACTCCAGTAGTCTTGCCTGGAAAATCCCAGGGACAGGGGAGCCTGGTGGGCTGCCGTCTATGGGGTCGCACAGAGTCGGACACGACTGAAGTGACTTAGCAGCAGCAGCAGTGTCTTAATCTAAGATGGAATAGGCCAGGGAGTAAACCCTTTTTATTTAGTTGTTCTGTCACACCTAAGGTGCCTTTGGTAGCTTCTTGTGATAATCAGATTTACAGTTTTCATATTCCAGAAATGGAATGAATATGAAACTTTGGTAGGAGGGAAACCATCTTTGAAAATAGCTTCAGACTGTGGGTTAGGGGTTCATGGCACTTTAATGAAAATAATATAAAGCTATCTAGTTGCTCTGAGTTTTTCCTTCATCATCTGAGGGCATTTCTCAAGGTACCCAGCAGAGAAGTGACCACTGGGTGTAGTTTAGGTGAGCTTTCAGATGTATGAGAATTTTTAGTAGCCACAAGAAGATTCTGGGCTGCACATAGGTGCAGTTTGTGAAACCCTTCAGCCTACTAGCTCCCCTCTGCAGCAGTGAGTCAGAACTAAAAAGCCCAGACATTCCTGGTGAGAATGCCAACACAAACCAAATAGTGGTTGTTTAAAATAAATGTTGGTTAAACAGCCACCATTTTTTCCTATTTGCATCAGAAAAGGATACACACCTCTTGCTGAGAATACACTGCCACCTCAGTGTGTATCTAAAGACTGACACAGCAGATACCGCAAAAGCATTTTCCTTGTTGTTTTTCTTTTGTTAATCTATAATGGTATGTTATCTTGGAAAGCAGGAAATTGGTCTCAATATAAAAGTTACATTATCGATGTGATGCTTTAGCGCATCGATACAAAAATAATACCAGTTCAAAAACTGCCATGCCACTACCCTACCCTGCACCAAGACAGAGGCCTAATTTCTCTTAGATTTGGTGCCTGCTCTTTAAATGGCTCACATTTAGGATTTTCCTACAGCTGAGGCTCATTGATCTGTGTACTTAGAATGGCGTGTACTTTGAACCTTGTCATCCATGTCAAACATTTGAGTCATCTGTATGTCTGCTTCTGTTGACTTTTTTCTCTCTGGTTACAGGTCACATTTCCTTGCTTCTTTGTGTGTTTAATCATTTTGTATTGTGTGTACTTTAAACTTGGGCACATACACACACATATCACATAAAGACTCCATATTCTGGTGAGGGTTGTACTTCTTCTGACTCACATTCTGTAGTGGGTAACTGACAGGAGGCCCCAGTGAACTGGAACTCATTAGCAAAAAGCCATTGTCTGAAATGGCAAGCAAGCAGCGGCACAACGCAAATACCAGCTACCGAGAGGATTCGTTCTTTATTACAGGAAGTTCATGTTCCTTAGGCATTTCACTGAATAACACTCTATAATAACCTTATTCTAAAAGGTTGCTCCCAGGCACATTACCTTACAGGATTTTCTGACGGGGCTCATGTTCTGTGATGGTTAACGGTGTAAGCATTGATTAAAGAGTGGAAGGAAGGCAAGACCCCTGGGCAGCCAGTCAGTAATGGGGCTTCTCGGTGTTCTTGGCAGGTGTTTATGCCCTGGACAGCATCATGCAGAGCTGGTTTACACTCTTTACTCCCACCGAAGCCACAAGTATTGTTGCCACCACTGTGATGTCCAACAGCACCATCGTCCGCCTCCACCTGGACTGCCACCAGCAGGAAAAGCTGGCCAGCAGCGCCCGGACACTCGCACTGCAGTGCGCCATGAAGGACCCTCAGAACTGTGCCCTCTCTGCGCTGACCCTGTGTGAGAAGGATCACATAGCTTTTGAGACGGCGTACCAAATTGTTCTTGACGCTGCTACAACCGGCATGAGCTACACCCAGCTCTTCACAATAGCACGGTACATGGAGCACCGCGGGTACCCCATGAGGGCCTACAAGCTGGCCACCCTGGCCATGACCCATCTCAACCTGAGCTACAATCAGGACACGCACCCTGCCATTAATGATGTTTTGTGGGCCTGTGCGCTCAGCCACTCCCTTGGTAAAAATGAGCTTGCAGCTATAATACCTCTGGTGGTCAAGAGTGTCAAGTGTGCAACAGTACTGTCAGACATTCTGCGCAGGTGCACTCTGACCACTCCCGGCGTGGTGGGGCTTCACGGGAGGAGGAACTCTGGTAAGCTCATGTCACTGGACAAAGCCCCCTTGAGGCAACTCTTGGATGCCACGATTGGGGCCTACATCAACACGACACACTCACGGCTCACACACATCAGTCCTCGGCACTATAGTGAGTTCATAGAGTTCCTCAGCAAGGCCCGAGAGACCTTCTTAATGGCGCATGATGGACACATTCAGTTTACACAGTTTATCGACAACCTGAAACAAATCTACAAAGGCAAAAAGAAACTGATGATGTTGGTTCGGGAGAGGTTTGGTTGA